GAGAGAGAGAGAGAGGAATGGATTAGGCACAAATGTCCACTTGAGTTGCATCCATGCTGTTTATTGTAAAAAGTTACTTTTGTTAAAAAAAGTTTGCCAGTGACCTTATGGTCACGTGTTAAAGTTATTAGTTCTGACCAGCATGCCTCATTGAATTGGCTGGTTTGGATTTTCATTTTTCGTAGGAAATTGGATGAAACCATAAATACTTGGCTCATGAAGGCACTTCTCACGTTGGGACTGTTGATTCGGCTATTTTGATTGTGCACAATTATCTGCAAGACTTGTCATAAGGAAAATTTTTGTGCATTGAGGTCTTTCTTTTTCTTTCCATATAGACATATATACATTCACATGTGCGGGCCCGAGAAAGATGAAATGATCCAGCTGGTCTATTGAATAGTATAGGCTGGATGGCTCACATTCAATCTGGGCACATCGGACAATGCAAGTGTGGGGGAACATTTTTATATTTGTAAATCTTTTTGAGCTAAAATTTTGGGGAAGGAAAATTGTTTCATGCTGCGGGGACCACATTTCTATGTTTGCGGTCCCCGAGGTATAAAGCATCCATCTTAAAGATGGATGCAAATCGGTGGTTCATCTGAACTAACGGTCTAAATGTTCTCTTACTAGATCTATTATTCTTAATTTTCAAAATTTAATTATTTTTTCATATTCATGTTCTCCATGTTAGAGATTACATGTCTTTAAAAATTAGGTCAAAAAATCCATGTCAAAAATAGATTTTTAAGAGGTGACTCATTTCTACATGGACTCATAGAAACTGTGTCCTTGGGAAAAGGTGTGCTGAACCTTGGCCCACAAAAAAATAAAAAATAAAAAAATCATTGTAGAAAATGATGAAAATGCCCTTACCTCTATCAATGAACGTGGGTTGTCTAGATTGATCAATGATGATCAATCTTAAAAAAAAAAAAGAAAAAAAAAAAAGAAAAAAAGAATTTGCACCCTAGAAAAGGTCCAAGGCCATCCATTTGGTGGGCATTTGTAACTACGTCTTCAAGAATCAACAACAATATTTTCCTTTTAAAATTGTTACTCTAATGATGATAATGCTATATATAATATTTGAGGTAAAAAAGAGAATGGCATAGGGCCTTGGTGGTAGTATTGCCGAGCCCCATAGTGAGTTCTTTGACTCCATTCTCACCAAAGGGTAGGGCCTAAATCCCCACTGACTTACGATTCAGATTTGAGAAAAATGATTCTCACTATTTTGGAATCTCGATTCAAAAAATTAGGAATCGCGTTTCCTATTTGCAAGAATCGATGTCCCTTCATGTTGGAATCGTGTTTCATACCTATATGGAATCACACATGACCCCACTTGTTTCGGTGGTTATTGGAGTCATGATTCCTAAAACTATGGAATCGTGATTCCTACAAATATGGAATCAAGATTCCTAAAATTCTAGAATTGTTGTCCCCATCAACTTTGAATCAACATGCTCACCATTCCGGAATCGATTCTCCCCATAATGGAATTGAGATTCTCCCCTTACTAGAATTGCGAACCAATTTCCTCAGGCATGTGAGAGAAGTATTAAGAAAATATATAATTTTACCCATTACTACAAGATCGAATTTTGGTCTGTATATAATCAGTCCAAGACTCCAAGTACTAATGTCAACCTTTATGATATCTTCCTGACAACATGGATTCACAATTCCTTAATACTTTGAATCAACGTTTAGCATAAGTAGAATCGTATTGTTGTGCAACAAGGAATCTCGATGTCTGGTATATAGAAACTTAATTCCAAACAACATGGATTCGTAATTCCAAAAAATTTGGAATCAATGTTTCTCACAAGCAGAATCGCATTCTTGTGTAGCTAAGAATCATTAAGTCCTCGATATGGAATCTTGATTCTGGCATTCCAGGAATCGAGATTCCTAAATCAGGTGGAATCGCGTTTTGCAAAAAATGGAAATGTGATTCCTTTCTTTTAGAATTGACTTTCGCCCGGGAAAATGTCGAATCGAGATTCCGAAACGGAATCGCTACCCTCATAGGCGATTCGGGTAACTATAACGGAAACATTGAAGCTTTCAGACTTGGAATTTATCATGCATAGTTTGGATTGGTTAAAGCCCCAATCAGTGAATCTGGGTTGTCCAGATTGGTCAATGATGAAACGATGGAATCTGCATCCGATAAAAGGTCTAGGGCCACATTTGTTGGACATTTAGAACTAGGCTTCAAGAATCAAAAACATTTTTTTCCTTCTAAAATTGTTAATTTGATAATAAAAATGCTATATACAATATTTGAGATAAAAAATATCCCCTGAAGGCTCCGATCTGACCATCCATCAAATGGAAGGCCTACATTCATCACATTAAAAACAAAAAGCCATTTTTCAGGTTGCAATTTTTTAAAGTTTATGTTTTTTTTTTTATATTGTTTCATCGGGGTAAAAAGAGTGTTGTGTTAGGAATTTAGGGTCAAACGTGGTGTTTGAAGGTGCAATGGCATTATATTACTATAAAACCTTTTAATGAAATCAAAATAATCAATTCCTTATGTGATAGAGGGCAAAATTATACTTCTTTTTAATTTCTCCTTATATGATGGAGGGCAAAATTATATACTTATTTTTAATTTCTATTCAATTTTAAAGGACATATATTTTGATTTTAGTTTTTAGGATTGAAATTTTTTTTTTGGGATTCTAGGGTTTTCTTATATTTTCTTTATTTACTATTCATGGAATGCTAGTGTTTAAAATTATTGTTCAAATGTTAATGTTCACCCATTACTGTTCACATGGGTATTTTAGGAATTTTAGTATTGTTTGAGGGTATCTAGAGTCTTAATTGTTTACTTGGGTTTCAAGTTAATTTAGGATTTCATAGGCTTATAAAAAGTTTTTATGTCACATTATGGGGACGATAAGTTATGGGAATAAATTTTATTTTATGAAAGAAGAAAGTTCGTCTCTTGGCTTCATTTACAACCATGTTATTTCTCCATTATTGTTGATATTAGTTGTTTAAGGTTCATAGAAAATGGTGGATTCAATTTCAAACCTTTTATTTCTGCATCAAGTAGTATTAGAGCATGGTTTGAGGACGGCTAGAGATTGCGATGGCTTGTGGTGTTAGCTGTAGGGATGCCGAGCTAATCCAACTGTACAAGGCAATCAATAACGTGACTGAGAGGTTACAGAGCTATTGCTGCGTAAGCTGGGCCAGCAACAATGTGCCCTAAACGAAGAGGAATCTACGGGGATAGATCCAAATCGTGAGGGTTTTTATGCAAAATGGCGCGAGTCAGAGTCTGATTCAGAGTTGGAGCAGAATGATGAGGCTACCTTCAACCACCCATTCTAATCATGCAGTTTGCATTGGGAGCTTCATGTTCGAGAGAATAGATCATGGGATTTAGTTGATCTACATGATTTGAGGGAGAACGATGGTGATTTTGGCATAGGTCATATTGAAAATCAGCAGGTTGTAGATTAGGATAGCCACCAATTTTCAATACGTATGATGAATAAGATCTTGTAAGAGATCCAATCTAGAATGATGATCAAGATTTCGTAGGTGAATCGATCTTTGATGAAGAAAAGGATGAAGATATTAAGGTTATCAAAGAGGTGGAGCATTTAGGGCATTGGAATAAGAGGTAGTGCAGTGGAATAAGAGGTAGTGCAGTGGAAGCATGGTGGACTCAGAATTTGCAAAGTTTGGCCTTGGTTTCCGAGAGTAATGAGACAAATGTCGAGAAACCCTCAAAAGTACAGAAAATAAGGTTTGAAGTTTCCTACATGATTTTCAATGGGAGCTCAAGAATAGCTGAATTTGTAAATTTGCATCAATTCCTCAATATATATATCAAGATCCGTTTCTTGAGAAATTATTTTGACCACAAATAGTATTTGAGCCAACAAAGAAGAAGAAGGTTGACGAATGCAGTTTTGATACTGAATTTATCTTAACGTATTTCAAAACTCGAGGGACGAGTTTTCTCCAACTAGGGGAGAATGATGGAGGGTAAAATTATACATATTTTTAATTTCTATTCAATTTTAACAGATGTATATTTTGATTTTAGTTTTAGGATTTATTTTTAGGATTTTAAGTTTTCTTTGGGATTCTGGGGTTTTCTTATATTTTCTTTATTTACTATTCATGAGTACTATTCATGGTACTATTCACACGTTCTTGTTCACAATTACAGTTAACGCATTACTGTTCACAGGGGTATTTTTGGAATTTTAGTATTGTTTAGGGATATTTTGGAGTCTTGATTGTTTTGGGTTTGCGTTAATTTAGGATTTCATAGGTTTATAAAATGTTGGATGTCACATTTTGGGAGATATATGTTATGAGAATGAATTTTATTTTTTGAAAGAAGAAAGTACTTCTCTTGGCTTGATTTACAGTAATGTTCTTTCTCCATTATTGTTGATTTTATTTGTTTAAGATTCTAGAAAAGGGTGGATGCAATGTCCCACCTTTTCTTCCTGCATCAATTTTCAAGCATCAAACCGAAGGAAAAATTTGAAGCTTTCACAATTGGAATATATCATTCATATTACTGATCGGTCAAAGCCCCAATCAGTGAATGCAGGTTGTCCAGATTGGTCAAAAGTGACCAATCTCTAAAATAAAAATAAAATGGAAATCCTATAAAAAGTCCAAGGCAATGCATTTGCTGGACATTTAGAACTAGGCCTTCAAGAATCAAAAACAATTTTTTCCATTTAAACTTGTTGATCTGATGATGAAAATGCTATCTACAATGTTTGAGGTAAAAAAGATCCCCTGAAGGCTCAGATCTAACCATCCCATCAAATGGACGGTCTAAGTTCATTGCATTTAGAAAATCCATTCAGGTTGCAATTTTCTAAAGTTTGTTTCTTGATATTGTTCATTGGGATGAAAAGAGTGCGTATTTAGAATTTAGGGTCAAACGTGGTTTTTGAAGTGTAGTGTCACTATATTACTATAACAACGTTTCATGAAATCGAACTAATTTATTCCTTATGCAAGCAACATACCAACGGAAATATTTGAAGCTTTCACACTTGGAATATATCACGCATACTCTATATTTTGGTTGATGTTTATCTGATTTGCAATTGAGTTTTTCACAATGACCATATTTTCTATTGCCACAAATGTGATCCTAGACAACTATACACTCTGAAAAGCTATAACACAAGTTGCAAAGATATTGAAATTGAGCCATTAAAATGTTCGTCTGTTGTAGGTAGCATGGGAGCATGAACAGTTTTCTAGGCTGAGGGTGACTGCTGTGACACTCTCAGAACTTTCTGCTGCACCTGAGCAACTAGAGCAAACTGGAGGAATATCTGACACAAGGCAAGGCTCTTATGACCACGAAATCACTTGCATTATATTTTTGCTGTCTCCTGATGACCCTTTGCTAAGTTTTTAGGAGTTTTGCTGCAGGCATATTGTAAATGAAACATCCGTTCTGAATGGTATCAAATTGGTTGCTGAGAGCCTCGTGGTAAGATCTCTTCTTATTTGCTGGCATTGGATATTGTTTCCCAATTTCTATGTGTCATCTATCAAATAAAAATTCTTACCTGTCTAGCACCGTCTTTGAAACAATTAATAAATTATTTTAAACTAGACTGTCTTCATATTCATTTGCTTCTAGATTCTAATGAAGTGACAACTGAATTGAGCTTATCTTGTTTGGCTTAAAAGGAAATTTACGAAATGAATTCAATCTTGGATTAAGTGCTAGTAAATATTTTATAAGCAACCAAAATTATTTGACCTAATTTAGTGTAACTATTCCATTTCCTCTTCTTTTTGTCTCATGATTGGTGTGCCTTTTTTTCAATTAGTGAACATACAGTTCCTAGTTATAGTTCCTAATTAGACACAATTGGGGCGTACGTTTTCTCTACATACCAAAATCTTGTTTTGTGTTATAAATACTCACCTACTTCACAGGTCTCATTAAAAGTGATAAAGTGTTTATATATCATTAAAAGTGATATAGTGTTTATATATCATTAAAAGTGATATAGGTTTTACATAATGTGATATAGATAAAAGTGTTTATAAGATATTAAATTGAAAAAAAAAATATGGTTGTCTCTCTCTTTATGCTATCTGACTGCATTGTAGACCTTCGTTTAGTAAACCAAGTGAATTATTTATATGATAGCGCATAAATATTGTGATAACAAATTAAGTATCATAAATAGGATATTTTTTATTTATAGCAAAATTAAGTAGACATGACTTCTTTTTTTTTTTTAAAGATCTTAATGGCCCCAATAGTTGGCATAAGGCTTGGCGGATTATGAGATTGATAATAAAATAGGATTTGTTTAATTGTAGTTATATTATATTTAATGCTCAAAATGAATTAATATTAATATAAGTGTTATTATTAGAATTATATAATAAATAATCTTTATAATAAAGCCGTTTGAAAAAAACCCCATGCCCTCGCTCTCTGGAAAGTACTGAAAAGACCCACATCCCTCTATCTCTCTTCCCCTTCCAAGAATCTCTAGCAACAGATCCCCTCTTGACTAAAAGTAAGAACTTTCGGGCCATCCATTGAGGCTCGGGATTTACGCTGTGAAATATCCTTGTGGTATAGAACCTCTGTCCAATCCTAAGATCTGATTATTTTTGTTGTCGTTTTCACTGCATTGGGATACCTACGATGTCTTATATTGGTCTCAGAGCGACTTGATGGAGGTACACCCTAAGATCTGATTATTTTCAAATAGACTTGATGGAGGTTTGCTTTAAGATCTAATTGCCATTCTTTTATCACTGCATGGTTTAGTTTCAGTCCCTTTTGCATTGAGAGACCAAATGGTTTCAGAGAAGTACGAAGCTCACAAAACTTGTAAATTTTTAGAGTTCTTGCTTTTTGTTGTGTTTGTCCTGGCCTTTTTGGAGCCTTTTGGCCCCTGTAGGTGTTAGGTATGGTCCAGGGCATGCTATGCACATAGAGGCACGATCGGCATGCTTAGGGCCCATCCGAGTATGCCAAATGGGCGTCTGATCACTGGGCACAAGCTGCTCTGATGACTAGGCTTTCATGGAGGCACACGTGGTGGCGTGCGTCCCCCCTGCCAGTGTGTGCATGCCTGCGTCCTAAGCCACGCTCCAACATGTGCACCAACGCTGGTCACGAGTGGTGGTCTAGCGGGTGTACACACTTGTGTGGGTGCACAAGGGTGCCCTCTTAGGGTCCTCACGGCCAAACGCGTTGTGACTTGTGGCGCATGTGCCACACGTGGTGTCACATGTGTGGGATGGGGCAGCTTGAGGCCACACAAAATTTGGTGTAGCTGTGGCCACACTCCTTTTGTATGCAGCCGCAGCCTTTCCTTGTCTCTATGTGGTCTCAGTGCCATGTTTTACCTCTGCTGCACGGCCTACTGTGCGCACACACAAAACTCAAGCGTGTGCACCAACGCTGGTCACGTGTGGTGGTCTAACGGGTGTACACACTTGCGTGGGTGCGCAAGGCCACCCCCTTAGGCCCTCGGCCAAAATGATTGTGACACGTAGCGCATGTGCCGCACATGACGTGTGGGATGGGCAGCTTGAGGCCACACGAAATACACTCTTTTTGTATGCAGCTGCAGCCTCCCCTTGTCTCTGTGCGGCTTCAATGCCATGTTTTACCTCTATCGCATGGCTTGCAATGTGGCCACACTTTGCTGTGTACAACCACGGCCTCACCAAAAGTCTGTGCAGCTTTGGTCGCTCTAAGGCTGCACAACCCTCTGCAGCCGCATGTCTTAAAGTGCGGCCGTGGCCGCACTATGTCTTTGTTCTGCACGACCTTATTGTCAAGCCCTTTTACTTCAGGGCCTCAACTATAATAGAATGTGAGCAGCCTTGAACTTCCAAGGGGCTTAACTTTGCCTCCGAGTTTTAAAATAAGAGATATCATATGTGATTTTAGGGAAGTTTGCTAAGCCGGACGCAACCATCATATCCCACTTGCTAATTTTGCTTCTAAAACACTAATTTTGGTCAATAAATTTTGTATGCATTCACGATATTCTTTTTCATGTGGCATGTGACTTGTCATGTTGAGCCAATCAAATCCTGGGGGCATGGGCATTGCCATCATTAGATTACAGTTTTTGTTGGATTTTGCGTAAGGGATGCAAATACTTAACTTGATGACAATGGTTAGGGTGTCCAGCCTCTAAAATCTAACTTGATGATGATTACGTATTGGCTAATATGGCTGTGTGAAATATTCAACTCGAGTATTTTGGCTATCTTAATTCTTGGGGACACAAAAACGTATAGTATTCAATGATATATTATGTGATTGCATCAAGTGATTTGGTTGTCGACTTCCTTAGAGGGGTAATGCTAAACAATGGGAACTTTTGGTATTTATGGCAAGAAAAATGATGCAAGAACTTTTTTCAAGCAACAAAAAACTCTTGACAAATTTTAATTATGAACTTATCATTTCTTTAGAAGAAAGTTATGATGAAACTGTTGAAATTGCTTCAGGCAGTTTTACAGAAAATGTTGAACCAGAAGAAACAACTTTTGAGTCAAACAGTGAATCTGATATAGAAAATATCAATTCAAAAGGAAATAAATGCTATTACAAAGGGAGAGAGGAGAGAGAGAAGGAGAGAGAAGAGAACTGAGCTGTTCTCCGATGATCTTCACTGAGAGGGAGCTCCTCTTTTTATAGGCAAAGGGGGCAATCTGGACTTCAAATAATATTTTTCAATTCCGCCAAGTATTGGCCTTTGATTTTATGCAGAAAAGTGGCCACGTGATTGTACTTGAAGGGCAGTCGTCGGTCGCATTAGATGATTCCACGTATTGGCTATAGTGAAATCGGTCAGATGACTTATCAAATTGTTACTGTTGGTTACAGTGTTTTGTTTAGATGACTTATAAAAAATTTATAAACAGTATTTCTAAGCGAATAGTGTTTTTAGTAGTAATTACTATTCATATGGACTCGTGTGCTGAGTAGTTTTGCAGCCAAGCTGTCCATCTCACGATCTTATGGTAAGTCTCATTTGCATAGTGGGCTTTTTGAGGGTACATGGAAAAGGATTCCCTCTTTTGAATAGTGAAATACAAAAAATTCGTAACTTTAGCTTTTATTACATGTTACACTTTTTGTATATTCATTGAATAAATGCATTGAATTTGTATAAGAAAAATCTTTTATTTTGATTTTCTTTATCCGGAATTAGCTGGTTTAGTTATGTCTCGGGTCCATCTTGCTTCCGTGTGTCAGTCTTCCATCATATTTTGTGTGTTGGCCTCGGCTACACTGTCAAAGCTAAAACTTGGTACAAGACTATATGGTCTTTCTGGTTCATCAAAAGGGATATAAGATATTGTGGGACGTCCAGAAGTTGGTTTATACAACTGTTGTTTAGTCATTTTGTAGGATACTTCAAAATTTGTTATGAACAGTCTTCTATCGTCAACAACACTGAACCAGCTTTCATCATTTTCAAGTAAATTTTTAGCTCATTGAGCTTCATTTTTATGATCTCAAGATTTTTTGTACAGTAGTTTTCTGTATCAAAAAGTAATTTATCGGTTTCATCCCAGTTTATCTAACCCAAAGAGAAATCAAAATCTGTAGCTTTTCTCAAAAGGCAAATTCAGAAAAATCTTTCTCGGCTAGTCCAGCCTATTGAATTAGAAATTTTGAAAGTAATATAATTATGAAACTTCCAGGTTTTGGTAGTTTCATAAAACATAGTTTTGATTATCATTGGAAAATTCTTAAATTTTATCTGATCATGATGGTAAAAAACGATTTTATCCACAAGTACCCATTCGATTGGTTCAATTTCCCATCGTCATAATTAAGGGAAAATACAATTTTTGGGTTATTGTTGGATTCATAAATAAGATTACCTTCATACTTGGTTAGTATTCTGGTAATATCTTTTTCAGGCTTGTTTAGCCTATGTTCAATATGCTCATAAAAAACGTCATATGGAAGTTCTAGTTTTAGTTTTTCATGACGGTAAATTCTTTTAATTCTTTCAAAAATAGGATCTTTGGATTGATTATCCAGGTGTTCTGAAATTTTTAGAAAATTATTGTCTTTTCATAAGATTCTGTTTCCCAGTCCATTTGTTTAATAATCTGGAAAGACAGGTTTTGCAGCTCTCTGGTTTATACTAATTGTTTTGTTAACAATTTAGAAAATTTTCCCATGTTTTTCTAAATTTTGTTTTATTTTGTGAAATATGGGATTTCCATAGAGAATTTAATACATGATAAAATTCAGAAGAAATATCTGGGTTTCTGTAAAAATCTGCAACTTGTTTAGTTTGAGATAAACATAATTGCTCTTGTAATCTCAAAATATCTTTAAAAGATAATTGTTGAGGATCCGGTACTTGAGCAAAATGTTGATGCTGCTGAGAGGCTTGTTTAGACTCTCTAAACTGAATGTTCTCTGGTCTAGGAATCCATTCCGATATTTTTTTCTTTTTTTGAGGAGGTAGCACG